ATTTAACACAAACTTAAATATTACTTTGTCCTCTGATTAATATTTAAACCTACAGAGTGTAAAATAATATTATAAATGTAAGTATTTTTTATGTTTCTGTTAGAGGAACCTGACCTGTTGGTTAGCTAACAGAGACGAGTTTCATCCTATAACAGGTACAGAGGACATTTTCTAAGTGACTGGTAAATATTTATTATTCATATTTTTATGACAGTAAGAAGAAATAATAAATATATTTAATTACTAGCTGAAGTCATCATTTTTCAACTAGCTAAAGTCTAATCTTCACATCTAGATTAGATCATTGTAATTTATAAATTATATATTTTTCTAGTATAAATCTGCTGTTTTACATGATTGTTGAATGAAATTAATATAATTATTAATTTATTGTAAAAACATGACAGATAATTTGTGAAACAGATCCAGTTGAGCTGCTGTTTATCTATTAGTTTCTATGGAGGCTGTGAGCTGTTGTCCTGTGTGGTCTGTTTCTGCTCCTCCATGCTGTCACAGACACTACCAGTGGACAGGATGGGTAGTGTTCTTTTTCAAGTCTGTTTGCTTGCAGTAATGGTGTTTTCCATCTGGTTATCTTTTGGCTGCTAAAACTTTAGATTTTGTTAATAAATGGTTTAAAGAACTAAAGTCAGTCAGTGGAACTGTACTGTGGTTGTCAGTAATTATGTGTTTTGGCCACTAAGGAGAGGTGTGATTTAATAAGAGAGGATGATAAATCACTCAGTAGACCTCTAAAAAATGTGTCCCCCTCTCTTCTGAGATGATGGTTACACCCTTGAATGAAGGCACCAACAAAATATCTGTTTTTCTCCTGCTTTTGTTAAACTGTCTGCTGGAGCTCTTGCGCTGCACAGAGAGGCTACCTGTCACTGTGAACGTGAGTTGAGATCTTCTCCTCATTGGTCAGTCAGCATGAGGCAGGTCAGGTGACTGAGAAGGTTGCTTAATGTCAAGTGTTGCTTTTGTGAAAATGGAGGACACTTCCCTCGATCTTGATGTAGTGGGTCATGTTTACCAGATTATACTGATGTGTTTTGTTTTTATAGCATCATGTGAAGGAGTGTCCTTGACAAGAGGACATAGCAGTGTATTTGTAGTTCTATGAGCATTTGTACATCAAAATAAACTTAGAATTCGAAATATTGAGTATATTTACTATATATTGCAATAATTTACTCTGTATTTTGCCAGACTGGTAATCCTAGGGTCGTAATGATGGGGCCCTTGAATATTGTTGCCCAGGGTACAGGGAAGTGTTAATCCGACCCTGCTAACAGGACGATTTTCTGCTGCAAAGGGCTTAATGCTGTATGTAAATAAAAACTCTGTATTCTACAATAATCATTCAAAGTATGAAATCACAACTAGGTATTTATTACAGAAACACCTTATTACACATATTCCTACAGGTTCAGAATAGATGTGGAGAGCTGCCAGAGCATCCACGCTGCATGACCTTTCATCCAGGCCTTCAGCCAGTCTGCTTGAACTCATACTACCTGCAGAATGATCTGAACATTTATCAGGCAGGCCATTGGAGGCAAAGGAACAAGCTGTGTAAATTAGACAAAAATAGTTTTTATTGCTTTCTGATGTGTTGATCAAAGTACGTCTTTAAAAAAGTGATTCAAAGTTCAAAATGATGAGGCAGGTCTTTTTCATGACTCCAACTTGTTTTCTGGGGTTTGGATATGTAAGGGAGTTGTGAAAGAAAGGACAGTTTTTTTTAATGGTCCAGTGTGTTATAATTGTTTGATTTTATTTGTATAATATCAAAAAAGGTAGATACTCATAAATAAATGTTTAAATATGTTTTCAGTTTTTTTCTGTTTCTGTAGTAATTTTGTTGTTAAAATTAGCATCATTGCATTTTCTGTAATCACAAAAACTACTGAATTTTACAAACTGATAAAATGAAAACAATCAATGTATCCAATGTTGCACTTAATAAATTATTTCCTGTGTAATGACATTTCTGTGTAACAAATCATTTATTTTTAAAATACTTTTTTCCTAATGTACCTGGACAGCTGAATCTTTGCAACTCCATCTGCTTTCTCAGGTTGCTCACACAGGAATCCCGGGACAGGCAGGGTTAAGGATGACATTGAAAAGGAAGTCCATGAGCTCACTGACAAGATTCTAAAAAAGACAGGATATGTCATCTGTTACAGACATTTTTTTGTTGGTGGTGTTATTTCAACTTGTCATCACTAGAAAACACCACCTGTCAATCTCCACACCCATTTAATCCTGGTGGAAAAGTGCTCAGGTGTGTTGAGAAGTGACTGAGGCAATTTAGAAGCATCTATAACATGCAAAGTTAACTTACTGCTTTAGTGATGTCAACAGATTCAGACATGCTGGGGAAGTAGGTGGTGTCAGAAGAATCTACACACCTTACACTGGCTTCAAACTACTTAAAAGATGGACCCTCAAAGACAGGAGGCTTTTTTGGTGGATCCAGGCGGTACAGCTTTCTGCTGAATGGAGTGGCAGAAAATGAGATGTGGTGGTGCCCACAGCAACTCTCTTAGTGGTGACAGTAGCCAGAGAACCTGTAAAACATACATTTAAATTATGATAATGATATAACTGTTATGTGTAGTGTCAATATTTGTGAAAGGGGTGTAGAAATGTAATACAGTACAGAATTTATCTGTACTGTACACTGTAATATTTATACAAAAGAAACCTGCTTATTATTACTTCTGTTAAACATTTTAAATGAACCATTATCAGTAAAATCATCAAATCATGCCGTTTCTGAAATTAATTTGTAACAGTTCAGAAGAAACATAACTCGTAGATATAAAATATCAGTTAAAAATACAACTATTAGAAAAAATAACTCTCATTCACTGAAAATAATTTATTTTCCACATTTTCATGCCTGTTTCTAATCTGTACCATAAAGGTTCATGCTCCGGTCATGATTAGGAGCGTAGCTGCGGCCTGCAGCTGAGGTGTGTGTGGAGAGGCAGACAGGTGCTAGCTGAGATCCAGTAAATCTGCTCTGTTTTTATGCTAGTTCTGGACATAACAGCAGCTCATTTTTCCTGGAGTTATGCTGTTTTTAGTGCACAAACAACTCTGGTTATGTTTTTCAAGTTGAGGACACAACATTAACTCGTAACTCCGCTGTTAATAATGAGCTCTATTTTAGAAGCTGAGCGGACTCCCCTGCAGCCGGTCGCATCCTTAGCATCGCATGCGGGTCTGTGTTGGTGATTAAAATAACGAGTAATCACGTTGATAACTAAGTATGTAATAGAGCTGTCGCATTTTCTTACCATAAAATGAGCTTGTGAACTTGTAGCGCAAGGGTTAAGCAAAAAAAGAAAAGTAGCTAAAACCTATGTAGATCCACATACATAGGTATCTATGTAGAAACCACCTTATGGATATAGCCCGCACTTAAAATATTTAAAATATAAGCACAAACAGCAACTTACTCCGGTTATTGGGCGAGGCATTATCCCACCGTCAGGTGCAGGACAGTGCAGCAATGTCAGGAGGAGAGTCCATGAGGTTGACGGTCAGTAGAGCCTCATGAACCAGCACCAAACGACCGTCCATAAATACCAAATGTGTCTCCAGGTAGTTAGTAAAATTATCTGGAGTAAAATGGGAATTGTTTAGCTAGCTAACAGCAAACAAAATATCTATGCTATTGCTATCTGATGCTATCTGCGATTAGCAAGTAAACAGTCAGCAAGGCCGAGGCAAAGACCCTTTTTATATTGCTGGAGAAGCAGCGGGCGGGGCTAAGCCAGGGTCACGTTTAAGGTGGCCGCGTGACGAAACGTAGCCGCCTTTTAAAGCACGCCCAAAAAATCCTGAAACAAACATATCTTTGAACACAAATTGATCTATACCTCCAAAATTAAAGTATCTACAGTTATGAGACTTTTTACTCATTTACAACAATGCAATTCTGACATTTATAAAGTTTAATGAAGAAAATATCAAAATTTACTTTACACGGTCTTTAATATATTAATGCATTAGGAAGGTTAAAAAACTTACATTTAAGATGAACTCTTCGGTCAATAGTTTATCCACCATCTTTGATTTGATGAAAAATTCCTTACGGCGCAATGCATTCTGGGATACCGTCAGCTGCGTAGGCTACTCGGATGCAGCCGACAAAAACTCAAACGTCGGCCGCATTTGTCGACCGTATTCGTAGGCACCGACGAATTGACATGACGCCAAAGCTAAGATTGCTCCGCCGACGCGGAAGCAGGGTTCAGCCCGCCCCTACCTCCGACAACAAACACAGAAGTAATGACAGTGCTATTGAAAGTTACAGTGTTACCTGATACATTTGGTGAGGCATTTTTGCCTTATGAACCATGTTTAAGGCAAAGAAGATAGGCTAGAAAATTTGCAATCAAGTCGTACATCAGGCCTGTGAAATTATTTGCGGGAAATCAAGGTGAAATCGGCATTATACAGCCCAAGTCTTTCGTAGCCAGAGAAAGAATGATGACGGGCACAAAGTGAGCTGTGACTGAGAAAGTTCTGTCAGACGCATTTTGCACATGCAAAAGCGGGTGAGTAGATAATTATTACTAGTACATAAACGAGCTTGTGAAATTCTGAATTATGTTTTTATTATGTTGTTCCGATTGTGTATGCTTCTTTACTGGTTTATTTCAAGCCTTTCAAGATACTTCTTAACAAAGAGAGACATTGAAAACAGTAGCCATGTGTGTGCCTGTCGCCAAGACGCACACCATTTGCCTTGGACTGAAACTGTCTATGGTTATTTTGCCTTCCTAATTTAGGAAAGTTTGCTTTTTGTTTTTGTTTTTAAGTTTGTTTAGCAAGTGAAGCATACTGACTCAGTTTTCATAAGTTGTTATGAATGTCCCAGCATCTGTTAAGGTGTGTGGATTTACAAATTAGATATCTGCTTTATTTTTTATTAGGCGCGCACACACACACACACACACACACACACACACACACACACACACACACACACACACACACAC